AAGAAACAGGATCCACCTAGAGTCACCATTTTGTTGTTCTTTTGCAATCATGATCAATATCCCAGATCTCATTTGATATGGGACATACATGCATGGATACAGTATTAATATTGCTGAGACAAAAACATTGGTTAAGTGATATAAAATATAGAAGAACTGCTTTTCTGATTATCCCAGTATCAAGGATTAACCACATTTTAAAAAACCTAAACAATATATGTACTGTTCCCATAAAGAAATGTACACTTGTTACTAACTACAACAAGCAACATGTTTACTGCAGGAAATCCATTCCTTGTAATATCTCCAGAGACATGGTTCAAGGAACCAATGAGGTCTTGCCTATAGATATAAACAAGATATGGAATAAAGCTGAAATGATATGCAGTTATCCTATTATGTAGAAAATAGTCTCTGTCCATGTCAAATTGTATGTAACCCCAAGAAATGATAAGTCATATGACTATAAATATGCTCCTTCAACAAAGTTATAGATCCCTAAAGCAACACCACTGCAGCCAATTTTCTGGATTATTTTTCTATACTATTTCTGCAGAAACCTCATAAATGAGGCTGAGGAACTTGGTAACAGAGTTCAGATCCAGTTCTCCACCTACCCAGGCAGTCCACATGATGCTGGGGCAAGTTAAAGAACTGGAATCCACACCCTCTGGTATCATACTTTTCACCACCAGGATCAGGAGCCACCATTCTCTATCTTCTCTCCTGGACAGAAAAAAGTGCTTTTTGCATGCAGGACGAAATAGAGAATTCATGCAGATAAAGCAGGGAACCAGGGTGAAGAGTGGCTTCAAACTGCCCTGCATGTTCCCTCACTAGGAAAAGCATGGATGGATGAAGCATAGCATCTCTGTTGGCAATCCAAGTGGAATATCTGCAAGAGTGACGGTCAATTTCAGACACGTTGTACCTTTCCCTTTTGTGGCAAGGCATCATCTGTACCATAACAACAGGAACTGTTAGGAAATTACTCAGGAAACAAAGAGGAGTTTAATCTATGTTTTTAAATAAATTCCATACATTGTGATGGTGCCCAAGACAACACAAAAGGAATAGATCAAAACAAATATACAAATATTTATACATTTCAGCTATAACCTGAAAGGAATGGATTCAAGTCTGCAGAATCTAATTTCAAAATATAAAACATACCAAGAAAACGATCACACTAACTGTTCTTAGGAAGATGAGAATCCATAATGACTAAAAAAATGACTGATATGCAAAGGAAATATAAAATACCACTGGTAAGCAAAAGCGTTTCAGAAAAAAATACACTGTCAAGCATCCTTATAATAACCCTCTCAAACCCTAACTATCCATAAAAGGTTATGACTTTGGATAAGGCTTGCCTTATCTGAAATAATATTTGAATCATCTATATTTGAAAGTATTTATTTTAACATAACACTTCCAAATAACTTATAAATACAATAACATAAACACAAATAAAACCAACTAAAGAGACCAATTAAGAAACAGAACAAACACTTCCATTAAAATATTTGGTAAACAAAAACAATAAACTTTGGCACAAAAAAAGAAAATCTTGGAACTTTCTAGAGAGGCCAAAGACAAGCACCACTGATAAACCCTCTGCTATGGACATGGGAATTTTTTAGAAACACGTAATAATATGTCAAACCCATATGGGATGAAAAAAGAGAGTTTCAAGTTAAGCTTAATTCCAGGAACTTTCTTAGAGACATCCATGTAGTTAATGCTGTTGGCAACAATACTGAAATGGTTTGTCACTTCCTTCTTTTGGCACATGGGAAAAAAAAATATTTAAGCTCCCAAAACCTGGGACAGGGAAGGGAATGGTATTCTGAAAATCAAAAACAGTATTCCAAGCAATCTAGCTGTCATATTTTAAATCAACTAGAGCTTTCAAACTATATTCAAAGGCAGTCCCATACACAATATATTACAGAGCTCCATGGGCAACATAATTCCTTTTTCAGCTATTTTCTATAATGAATTAAGGAAATGTATTTATATTTATATATGAATTAACCCAGAATGGAACTTTATTTTAAGTAAGCATGCACAGTCATACCACAAGGCATTTATATACATGTATTTTCTCTGAGTTTTGCAATACAAAAGTTTATAACAGACACACGATCATACATGTGCTTTCCAACAGAGCATTATTAACAGGAATTGTGAAATCATCCTGACACAATAATCTTCATTATAATGGAAGAAGAGAAAACTATGAAGTATAAAACTATAAAAGCCAGAGAGCCTATACATTTCTGTTAGTCATTTTAAGTGCAGTCTGGGATTCTTTCAAGATTGAGGCAGATGGCCTAAAAGTCTCCCTTCAAATTGTAGACCATCTGTCTCTGATTCCACGAGTAAGTATCTTATCAAAAGGCAACTGCTTGCTTCATTTGAAGTCCATTATCCTATGCAGAAAAAGCCAAAGCAAATTATTATTGATATGTCTAAATGAAGGCCAGAAAACCTGTATGACTTAAGTCATGAATTGTGTTAACATACTGATATTAAAATAAAAAAAGAGAAAGAAATCATAAAAATATCCGGCATAAACGCCACTTTGGATGTATTGTTTTAAACCTTACTTTAAAAAAAAAGAAACTTTTATTCTAGAAGCTATTAGTAATTTGGGATACTTACTAGATGGACTGTGATCCACTGCAAAATTTGCAGTAAGCTTACTAGCTTTTATTCGTTATTGGATTATGTTGGTGCCTTACCTAACCTGATGCCCTCCAGATCTCATCCAGTATGACATGAAACTCAATGCAGCTGTGATTAGTTCAACAAGGTTTTTCTTAAACAAGAGCCCACATTCAATCTTACAACTCATCAGAGATCATGAAGATTCATTTTTATTCTTAATTTAAAATACATGAATGGTCAGCCACTGATTATTACATACAGACCTTCAAAGCATACACAAAAGTTAAGATATTGTTGCTATGTATGCATCAACTTTCACAAAGATGTTTTCCTATCCATATCCATCCCCTTATTTATGACACATATCATCACTTTGAAATCCAGGACACTCAAAAATAAAGTGTGAGCAAACATTTTCTTCAACTTGAGTGAGCACATCTACTTTCAACAGTAGAAAAGTAACAAGTATGATAGAAGTATGGCATTTCCATATCAACTACTACAGAATATGTTAAATCAACCTTTCCCAATCTGGCACATTCCAGACCATGTTTAATTATGACTTCTATCATCCCCAGCTAAACAACAGCACTGTCATGCTGCCATGCTGGTGATGGAAGCTACTGCCCAACATACTGGAAGGCACACGATTGTGAATTTAATTTAGCCTTTTCTGAACACTGTGTAAGATCTTCACATCCATGCTTTGCCACTAAACAGATATAAGTTCAATGGTCACTATTTCTCCATAATTTCTCTTGACCTGCAAGAATACTTAGGACAAATTCCTTAGCAACAAATGCATCTTAGAACAGATGTATACACCACCTAACTGTCCTCCTTTATCTTCGGCTTAGCTGCCTATTACAAACATTCAATATTTTAGTAAAAGCATATAACTGCTGCAGCACATCTGAATTCAATGCTAATACATGTTATGTAAATCATATAAAACATATTCTGTTCAAACTAATCAGAAATAAAACCAATGCATTCACAAAATAATGTCTATATTATTTGATCAGGAACCTGCTTTAGTATGTGCATGAATTATAACATCCACCTCTTATAATATACATTCAAAGGAAGAATGTAATACTTAGTTAACTATCTTAAGCCAAAGATTCAAGGTATATCTATTACACTTTTTTTAAAAAGTACAGGCTTCATAAAGTATATTATCAAATAGCTAAATAATAATCACATTATTAAAGCTATGAAGAGGACTGTTGTCCTGCTGTTTCTAGTTCACTACCTTACAAAAAAGCTATACTTAAATGCATAAGGATCTCATGATTCAAAGAACATTTCCCAACAAATACCAGACTTTCTTTTCTCTCTGTAACTAAGGTACTCTTATACATTATTATTATTACAATTATATTTAAAGCTTTTTCTCTGAAAAGCTCAATCAGGATATGCAGCACTCCCTTCTCTAATTTCTCACAATGAGACTATGAAGTAGGTTGCACTAAGAGAGACTTGGCTAGAGTCAATCCAGTATGTTTGGTGATTGAATGGGAATTTAACACATGCCTGACTTCAAACAGCAAAATACCAGTCCTTCACATAAAACTATTCTGAAAGATATATGTACTTTAAAGAATATTCCCATCTCTGAAAATTGTTCTTTATCTTGTCTAATACTTTACAGAGGGGAAGCAAATGCACATACCCAGGCTTTTTTGACAAGTAGAAAAGCTGTTAGAGCACCAGCAGATCAATTTTCTCTTCAATTGGAAAGATATTCCTCCTAAGGCTTAAACGTTCATGGAGCACCAGAAAAAATACATTTTTAGTTAATGTTTTTAAACAAAATAATTTTAAAAACTGGGAATTCCATCTACTGCCCTCAGAAGCATAATACACCATTTAGAATACCTGTTTTCAGCCCTCACAAAGTTCAACGAGCATCTGCGCTACCTTCGGGTGATTATATCAAAACTTTGCAAAGTACCCCCCTTTAAAAACCAAACCAAACCAAACCCATCCCCATAGTCTTTAGAATCCCGAGTAATGTGCACCACTGAGCTGAGCAATAACAACTTTGCCATCCGTAAAATCAAGAGAAAGGCTCTTATTTCCGAGAGAATCACTTCCATTCAGAAATGACATGGAGTAGGACCTTGTCTTAACGGAAAAATAAACCGGCGAGGAAACGCCTTGTTGACAACCACGGTGTGCCTGAGGTTGCTACACCACCGGCCGGCCCCTTGCTAAGGATGAGCAAAAAGCCGGAAGATCGAGCGCCCCTTCATCCCTCCTTCTGAACCCCCCCACAGCAGTGCTGACAAACGGCGCTCCCTCCCTCCTCTTCGGCGCGTTACCTTGCGGACCCCCTTGTAAATGTAGAAGTAAAGCTCCCGGCCCACATTGAAGCAGAGCCGGTCCCCATTGCCACTCTGGTCGTTGACGTTGACGAAGGAGACGCGAACGGGGTTGGAGCCCTGCGAATTGAAAGGCACCCGGTTGGGCCGGCTGTATTCCGAGTGGCTCAGGAGCTTGTAGAGCCCCTCGCGGGTGGTAAACTGGGTCTTAATCTCGTTCATCTCCTTCCCTCCTCCCTCCGCCGCCATCTTGGAAAAGAGCATTCATCGTCTTCCAGTACCCGGATGAAAGGCCAGCGCGCAGACGCACCAAAGAGGGAAATTGTTTCTCCTGTCTGAAAGCGCATGAAGGGAAGCTCGCGAAACGTTCGTGCCATGAAGTGGGAGGAGCGAAGTCCTTCCCTGTTTACCGCGTTTCTGCGCATGCGTCAATTCGGCCTGGTGCAACGGGATGAGGTGGAAAAGATTAAAGCGATGAGCCTTCGGAGTGAAGGAAGAGTGAGCATGCGCTGAAGGAGGAACTACTTCCTGGTGCTTTTGCGTTGTAATTTTGCGTTAACAGGAGGGGTTGCGGCAAGAGCTCTGTACGTGCTTCTGTACGAAAAAAGTGCAGATAATTGCGGATGTGTATTCGGAAGATACATTGCACACATTCTTCGTTGTTTAATTCACACTAAATTCTTCATTTTATTTATTTAATGCGGTTGTATAAGAGTTATATCCAGTGATTCAACACACTATATATGGTTCCTCACTCTTTTTAATATTCACAGACACATGATGTGTAATTGTATTCTTGCATCCCAAGATTGGAGGGGGGGAAGGGGGGAAATTTTCTGTATAAATAGTTTGGAACACATGCATTTATGCTGCCTTGCAACAGGTTATTCCTGTCTGCCTTCTTTTGGTTGTTATTTTCCAGATACTTAGTTGTATTAAGATTGTACCTTAAAGACTTGGAAAATTATTATGGCATAAGTCAGCCTACCTCATAAAATGCACAGAGAAATATGATAAGGAGGAAGCAAATATACTCAGTTTGTATGTTGCTAATTCATTTTAGAATGCAAATACTGTAATATCAAAGTGTCTTCATCAACAATTAAAATTACCAAAATGAACCACTTTCCAAAAAGTCTTGGAAAAGCCATTAGCTGGCCTCCTTTTTTACAGCCTCCAAACCACTACAAACCATTTTTGAGGACTGAATAAACCAATTGTGGATTTGTGTGCTCTATCTCTGTGAATTCAGTTTGATATCACCTATGTTTAGCATTGGTAAACATCTTCAAGATCTGGTACGTGAACAAAATACAGTGGTACCTCAGTTCACGAACTTAATTCCTTCCACGATTCTGGTCGCGAACCGAATCAAATTTCCCCATAAGGTTCAATGTAAATGAGGTTAATCTGTTCTGAACCATATGTATTTTTTTTTTACCACAAAAATATGAAACAA